TGTACAGTAGTGAAAAAAACAACAACAGAGCTCCCGATTATAAATGCAGCTTAAGAAAAGGCAGAATGACTGGTTTCCCAGATTTCCAATAATACATCTTTTGGCTCAACACTGTATTACTTAAGATTAACAGTTATCAAAACAGTGTGATTAAAAAATGAATCTGTCAGCTTTACCAAACCGGCTTTTAAAAACAAGCCGTGTTTGCCATCATCCTACCTTATGTACCTCATACATGAGCTAACTTGGTTCATCTTTACTGCTGATGGAATGGGCCGTGCTCTGCGGTACCTGGTACACCAACTCGTCAGCAGTGCCTGGCCCCAGCTGTCCCTTTGGTGTGTCATACAGTGCCTGTGCTGAGGACACGCTGTCTGTCCTGGACAAGAGCTTATTGTAAGTTCCCACCAGTGAAGGAGCTGGATTCCCTGCTGCTTTGAAGGTGGAAATAGAAGGAACGCCCAGAGGTGTGCTGGGATGACTGGACATGTCCATGACTATTGGAGTTGCGTATTCCGGTCCAGTTATAGGCAGTGGTTCAGCATAGGCATGATAAACTTCTTGTATAGGTGAATTGTAAGGGTCCAAATCAGCATAACTTGCTTCTTTTCCTTCCTCTGGTTTGAAGGTTGATCTCTGATGAAGCGAGCCGACAATGCCGCCGACCAGAGGCTGAGCATACTCTGTACAACAAACCCCAACAAAACAAAGTAAAAATGCACTTACTGCAGATTTTCCTTACAGCAGCAACACATTCAACACATCCTGTCAACAACACCCCAAGGAGTATTATCCTGGATCAAAGTACTGGTTGGCTTTTGTCTGTTGTATCGAGGTGCTTTGTGGGGAAAAAAAGAAGTAATCTTCGCCCAACAGATAGAGCATAAGCTCTATGTGTCTATGTGACAGCACCTGATAGCTCAGGTTTATCATTCTTCCCTTGTGAGCTACTATTGCTCAAGTTGAATATCTGCTCTAAACTGTTTTCAAACATGCTTCCCTGAAAGCTTAAAAGTGAGTGGAATTATCCTGTCTGGTACTGGATAAGAAGTGGTCTTTGGCATGGAGGGTTTGTCCTCTGAGAGGGGAGCCAGCACACAGCCAGCTGCAGCTGAGATACTGCAGTTTGACAGACAACCTGAGAAACAGAAGCTCACCCAAAATCAGCCCATCACCCAAAAAGAACATCATTACTTCTGCATGCTGTAAAGCTGTAATTCCTGTACATCTGCAAACTTCTGCCATCAGCACCGTCAGCACAGAATCAAAGGCAGTCAGCCATCTTCCTCTAATGGCCAGTTTACCATAAAGGGCACATGCTGTTATCAGTAACTGATTTTCCAGACCAAGCATATGGCTTAATCAGTGTAGGGAACCAAATGCCACGTATCAGATTTATGCATAATGTGAGAAGTTGTTTTCAATGCTTGTAAACACAGCTAAAGAAACAATTGTGTAAACACAATGTAAACACAGCTAAAGAAACTGCACTCATTATGGCATTTAAAACGAGCAGCTTTCAGTTACTGCTGTAACCTGGGGAAGTGTCTACAACCAGCACATCACCAGTCAATTAATACATACCTTCATGGGATTCACTCAAAGAACAGATCTGAAAAAGTCTGCGTTTTAATATGTGTTTATCAGCACATTCATTTCTATTCATTTCCCTTCACCTCCCCCAAGTAAACACGAAATAATTAAATGCAGTCACATTTCTGCCATTTTTTGGCATTTTGTGTATTTATCACATAGCCTGTGAAAACAACAACAAAAAAGTACCTGCAGATTCTGTCTGCAGCACTGTTGGAACTTCTCTTGGTCTGAGGCGGCCAATTTCACTGCTGCTGTAGCGTACAGGAGTTTCTTCATGTTCTGCTGATTTGGTAGGGAGAAACTGCTTCATTCCTTTCCACCATCCTTCACACAGTTTAAAAAAAAATGAAAATGATAAGCACAGATACTAATTAATTGTTAAGCTATTAAAATGCCATATGCTATGAGTTAACTGCCTGCCCCCACTGCAGTCATTAGGTTCTGCTGCAGTGCTGGGGCAGAGCAACGACTTCCCCCCTTGTGTCCCTTAATCACAGTGCTGCTCCTACCCAGCACACCTGTAAGCTTGCAGAATGCAACACAGAAAATGCTACAGAGTCTTACTTTGTAACGAGGCCGATTTATAAATCAAGTATTTACACAACATTGTAACCCAGGAGTATGTGAATTAATGGGCTGTTAATGTTTCTCACTCATTTTGTTTAAAAGAAGTTAATCGGTGAGTATCTGCAAAAACTGAGTATTTTTTAACTTCGGAAAGGCTGATAAGGAGTGACTGTGGTCATGAAAGCTCTCGGGAGAGAAGGCTGCCTTTGCTGCAGTCATTCCATCCCTCTCACTGAGTAACCAAAGCCATCCTGGTTCCGCTGTCCATGAATGCATTTTATTTTAGATGTAAGAAACCATCTTGTAGGCAAAGAAGTCCAAGAACGAGCAGACTTAAAACCACAGAACAGTGTTAAAAGTATGAGGAAGCCTGCGGGGAGAGCACAAACAGAGGTCCCACAGAAAACTGCAGCATTTTTGTAATATTGCATTCTGCCCAATTTCAGTACTCCTTTTAAAACAGACTCATGCACTGAACATTTAAACTTAAATCAGCTTAAAAAAAAAAATAAAATACAGTGTATTCATCATAAGCATTTGGATACAGGAGACTTTGACACTTAACATTCTAAAGCAACTATGCTGTGACCTGTCAGAAAATGGACACGTAATAAAGAAAAATAAATTCATTAACAGGTTTCTTTTCTAATGAACAAGGCCATACATGAGACTGCCAGAGAACAAAGGGATGTGGCTATTCTGTAGTGTAAGGTCAGAAAAATGAAGCATAGTTAGTCATGCAGACAGTGAAAGCTAAGCCAGCTCTTTAAGCTGCAGCACCAGAGTTTGTGTGACTCCTTCAAAGAGCTGCTCTGTGGAATTGTCTGACCTGAAGTTAATGAGGCACAAGAATGGGAAGGCAGAAAACATACCAGGGAATACAAGGGGATTCTTGGGATACGAGTAATCCCACATTGTTACAAGGACAATGGAGAAGAAGAAACTTGACAAGCTCCATATACCAAGATGAAATGTTTTTTTTCCAGCACAAAAGAAGTACCAGAAATAAAAGACTATTACATTTACCAAAAGTTTCCTCATGAATGATTTTTTTCCCTCTTCATGCAATTAAGAGGCTCTAAACTTGTTTTACTTAAAAAAGAAGACTGACTCTGTAAGCTGGAACTGGAGATATTTTCCATGTCTTATAAAAATGCAGAGAACAAAAAAGCCAAGTCTCATCAGCAAGCAAGTTCTGTGCTCTCTGTCCCTCCATCTCCACCAGTCAGCACTACAGGAGCTTCTGCTGGTGGAAAACATCACTACAGTTTGAAAACATTACACTAATAACGCCAAGTAAAGGACTTCATAAGATCATGTTGTTACCTGCACGATCCCAGTAAGGTAGATCATAGGTGCCCTCAGTTTTTTTCTTGCTGTGAGAAAAGGACAGAGTATTTTAGCCAGTCTTCCTACCAGAAGCGCATCCGTGCTCAGCAACCTCGGCTTCTCAAGCTTACAGCCCAAGCCCCAGCAACCCGGCCTGCTGCTACCAGTCTGCTGCTACTGGAGAAATCAGTTTTCAGAAAAAGCACTTGAAAGGAAACTATTTACAAAAAGCATTTCCGTTGTGCTTGCTCTCCAAATGAACATTTTCTCATAAGGAGTGAAAAAAAGCCCTTCCAGAAGTGCGGATCGTGTAGTTCCCATAGCAACACATGCAGAGTGCTTCATTCCCACACACCAGACCAACATTCTACTCAAGTACTTTCATTAATCCATTCATTTACCGGTTTCTCCAATGCCACGCACAAACTAAGATAAGAATCAGAGTAGTGAAGACCATCACCAGCACTGGAACCAGAACTGCTGCCAACGCCACATCTGAAAGCCATTAAATTAAGTGGTGTCAGACAGAAGTGCTTCTCATAAATCAGTTCTTATTTTGAAAATTACTTGGGTAAACATGCAGTTTTCAGGTACAGCATCTATCACACTGGGTCCTGCTAAGCTACCCTGCTGGATGCTCACACAGTTTAAACAGCAATTATTGTCTTCTCTCTTTTACATGTACACAGCATTTCTGAAAGCTGTTCCAACAGAATAAATAGCTTTGTTTTGCTACAAATACATGGTTCTTACAGGAAAATGGTATTTTATCATTAACATGGAACACCAAGAGCCCAGGAGTATGCAACCACTGAAGTCTGAACCTCTTACAAGAAGTAAATAGCACAATATCCTAACAATCACTACTTGTCTATCTGGGTTTACGTGTGACATGAGAGCATGTTCTGTCCTCTGCTTCCCAAAGGACACTTCACCAATGCCTACATTTGCCATGCTCTTGTTCTCTTTCTGACAATAACAAACAACATGATGGCACCGGGTGTATTTCAAATTTCATGCCAATGGCACGGATTAACAGAAGACTATCTATATCTAAGTGTCTTGTCCTAAGCAATTATCAGATTAAAATGACAAAGTTACTTCTAACTCTGAAGGGAAGTCCAAGTTACAACTTCTCCTTTTGAGAAAAGCTCTTTAAGTAATTAAAAGTTAAACTCATTTTCAACATAATATTTACATCCCTTAGAATACTAGTTTTGTTTCCACATGCTGTATGCAACTGAGTATTTTTAGCATCTGAATCTTTAATACATTGGCAAGTATTAAAAAGATAGATGTTTTATTACAGTATATAAAAACTGACAAGCAAAATTAAACTCAGAAAGCGTATTTAATATATTGCAAAGTACTGTAAGCAGTTCCCAAATTTCTAGTGCTCAATCATGGATACCTTTGGTTACGCTTGGAGTCACTGTGGTGTTTTTTATTTCAGGTGTGAAAGTTGTTTTATCTGTCTGCAACGAAGTCTTCACTGAGTGGATGAAGTCCTCACCGATGTCATCAACCTTGTTGGTGTTGTCCTGAGGCGGTGGGGGAGGCAGCATGGAGATTTTGGGAGCACGGACTTTAAGAGAAAGGTATTTAGAAATGAGGTTGTTTTTTTTTGTTTGTTTGTTTGTTTAAGTGCTAGCTTTACATGTTTCCCTGTCAAGAAAAGAGCTGGAATAGTTTGTTATAAAACTTCTGTTCATTTTGTATAATGAACAAAAAAAACTATGAAACAGTAACATGAGAGCAAGCGACTCGTGTCTCTTGAAACACTTTTTCAATTGCTCTGTTTACACACAGAATGGGAAAGTTTTCAGCTGCCTTACCTATACTGAACTGACATCCTAGCAGTTCTACTTTCATTGCAATTTTCTGGTGCCACTTTAAGGGGTTAATCCTAACAAATCGTGCAATAATAGGTGGGATAAAATTATTGCGAACTTCCTGGTACAATTCAGTGTTCCCTTGAAATACCTAGGAAAGAGGAAAGAAGAAGAAAAAAGACAAATACTATGTTACACGAATATAATACTAACTGAGTAATTAAAACCAATTTTGATATTTCACACAGCAAAAGTAAGCTTTAGGGAATGCTAACAGTATTTCATACCCAGAACAGTGCTGCTGCCTGACCATCCCCACTCACCCTGCCTCCTGCTGAAGAAATGAATGGTGTGTGTGTGCAGACCAATGGGAATACTGGCTTTGTTTCTGCATGCAGTGTGTGACTGATGCTTGGTACCCTCTGCCTTCCTCCAAACAGAGGAGGAAGGTAAACAGAGAAGAAACAGTGTACTGATGTGACCCAGGCAACCCCTGTTGCTACACAAATGCTGAGTTTGTATGGCAATAAAAATAATTTTAACTCAGTTCTTTCTTGGTGTTTTGCACTTGCTCTTCAAATACAGCAAGCAGTTGTGATAATGTGAAAGTAGGTATTATCAGAGTCTTCACACTGCATAATAGCTAAGGAATGGTCTCTCCTGTGAATGGATATGGCATCTACTAGGAAGAATTAAAATCTAATGTAATCACACTGTCCTCTAGTGGTTGCTGTCTACAATGACTTGCAACAACAACAACAAAAAAAGCAAAACACATTAACAACTTGAAATCTCTGGATCAAAAACTCTTCAATAATAGAAGCGAGCAGAAATTGCCTAAAGAATGAGCTAAAGCTGATCCTTCACTGCTGGGTCTCACACACAAAGAACTCATCAAATCTGCAACACATCACAAAAGAGGGGACCGTAACAGAGCAATGTCTATTTTCAAAGCATTGATACTGATGCTTCAAGATGTAATTCAGAAGTCAGTCATGGCACTTACTGGCACAAACCTGAAAAATAAATACTATGGAGATGTAGGATTTTTCTGCTCACTCACACTACTAGGTAAACACAATCCAAATTGTACAGAAGCAGGAAGGTGCTTTGGTGTTTTGTACACCATATACAAAAAGACAGTGCAGGATAAATGCCTGCAACATCCAGCAGGTCTGAAAGAAAAGCATTATTCCAGGACAGGAGACTGGCCTTTCAAAAGCCAAAACCAAGAAAACCTCGCAGCAGCCTTTAAGCAGCATCTTAGCTCCCTGACCTCCATAACATGCCTATCCCTGCTCTTAGGAGACACACAACCCCCATTAATATTGCTACTTAAAGTTGAGTTTTGGTTTGTCCTTACCTAGTCAGTGATTGTCTTCATCTTTGAAAGCACCAACTGATCAAACAAATGTGTCAATTTAGTTAAGAACAGAAAAAGGTTTGCCTGGTGTTGTGCCAGTTCCCCCTGCTAAGGAAGGCCCGTGCTCAGTTTGGTACCCCAGCAACAAAGGCACAGGAGATGAGAGAAATCAACACCTCTGTGTGTATGATTCTCTCAACACTGACAGTTTTCAACTCTGGTTTCAGAAGTTGAGCATGTAAGAATGAAGGCAACAAGAATCCTTAGTGTCAGCTATAATCATAGAATGGATTGGAAGGGACCTTTAAGATCATGTAGTTCCAACTCCCTGCTATAGGCAGGGACACCTCCCTCTAGAGCAGGCTGCTCAGAGCTCCATCCAGCCTGACCTTGAATGCTTCCAAGGACTGGGGCATTCACAGTCTCTCTGGGCAACTTGCTCCAATGTCTCACCACCCTCACAAGCATTTCTTTTTTATATTTTTTTTTAATATAATGATGCTAGAAGGACTTTTCTTGAGCACTAATGCACCTCTAAAAGCTCTTTTCATAGAGGATCACAAGAAGTCTTGGAGTCTTGGGAAACTTTCTGGTCTCCTGAACAGAATTTTCAGACATTAAAAAAAAATAAATAAAAATCAAAACAGGGAACTGCAACTCCTAAGCTAAGTAAAAATCAGAGGGAGAAAACTGCATGCACATACAACCAGAAGTAAAGCTGTATCAAATGAGATTATGCCAGACAAAGGGAAAACCTGTTATATTCTGAAGCCTCAGTATCAGTCCCTTTTTTATGTTAAGTATTTTCTATCACAGCTGGCACTTTGAGTACGTTTGACCATTTGCACACTGTACCTAAAGATATAAAAAAGTGCAGAAAGGATGTTAACCTGTAGCTTCAAGCTCCACATTTTGTTTGCTTCAAGAACTTGCAAGGAAAGGAAGCGGCTCAGTCAGCAAGAGCCAAACACGTAGCCTCCATCTACGCAGCTAGCTGAGATTGTATTTTACAGCCAGAGGAGGGCACTCAAAAAACAGCAAAAGATGCTGGATTTTTAAATTTTAGTTATTTATTGAGGCCTTCTTACTAGAAATTTGATAGTTGTGTAGGCTCAAGGAGATGGACCAGTCTCTACAATCAAATCACATCAGTTCAAGAAAGTTTCCCACTATGATTGTGTTCAGTGTTTGGAAACCTTTTAATTTAACAAAAAAAGATACTTCCACCTTTCACTTCAGCATCAAGAGGACTGGAAATAAGACAGATAGAACCATTCAGTTTAGCACTTGAAATCCTTTCCAGTTCTCCAGATTATGAAGCTCAGAGAAAGCAGCTATTTGGGAATCTCTTAAAACAGCCCAGGTCAGCGGGAGATGCTGCCATCTGCCGGAAGCGAGTGCTTATTGCTGGCAATAGAAGTTTCTTGTCCTGAATATTAGCACTTCCAAATCATCATTAAAATCATCTCCGCGTTTCAGTCTTCTATCCTTTTCCGATTCCTTTCTGCAGAGACACTGCTTATGATTCAATATCACACCGAAAAGTTAAATGAAAAAAAACAACCAAAACCAACTGGTCAAGCTGGTCATGCTTCTGCACAATCTCCAGAGTATTCCCAGAAAGTATATGGTATTTTTACCTTATCTTTATCAATGCCAGGTTCTCTGTATACTGTCCACTTTTGTGCATCATCACTATATAAAATTCTGTAGGATGAGACATAATAGTAGTACTCTGCTAAGGTTGATCCAGTAGTTATAATACCTGTAAAAATGAAGGTGTCCAGTTATACAAAAAACTGCTACCAATTTGTACAAAAATACATCAGCTTCTTAATCCAGAGTTTCATAATTAGAATTTCCACTGCTCCAGTTACACTTACAAAAAGTTTATCCAAGGTGTCAGGGTCTGAAACTCCTACGGTGACTAAAATCTCATTTTACTTACTTTTTTATGTCTTAATCTACATTTCTCCCTTATTTCTTGATAGAAATGGCCTATCCATGTGCCAAGGTATCATTTTTCTTCCTTGCCTTTGTGTTGCCAAGCTAAAAGCACCACTGGAAGAACTTCAGCTTCCTAAAGCAGTCACTGCAGTGCTGTGGGGATACTCCCCAGAAAAGCCGTTTTGCAGAAGGTTATTAGCACAAGAATGGGAGGACCAATGTAAAATCAAAATAGTCTCCAGGGAGGTAGGATCGAGGTAAATCTGAGATGTTTAATGACAGGAAATCCAGGTGCTGATACATAGCAGGGCATGCAGCTGCATTCATAGAGCCCAGCTCAGGCACATGAGAGACAAACCCAAACTGATCAAAGGGGATGTCTGGGGATAATCTTAAAGCCCAGGATTCTAAAAGGCACTTTATTTTTACTATTAGGCACTTTATTTGACTTAAGTCAAACTGCAAACACACTCTCCAACAAGGATTACCTCTGAACACGCAACCCTGAATTGCAGTTCAAGCACCACTGCATGAAGGGGAGGCTGCCAGCTGCTTACTGCAGAGCGTGGCAACTACTCCCACCTCTGCTGCTGGATTTGCTATGGCTGTAGAGGGCAGCAGGGGAAACCTGGAAACCTAATACACCCATATCGGAGGTACCAGAGGACTGAGCTGCCTGGATATGGACTTGGACCCTCAATAAAACAGCAGGAACAGGCAAGTATCAAGGATCCGATATAAACACAGGAAACACTTGAACAAATTCCGATCAAGGAGGTTTTTTCTACCATGAAACTCCATCTGCTCATCTTTAGGCTCTTAGGTGCATTTGCTAGAACACAGAAACAAACTTGTTGTAATGGTAATTAAATTAACATCCAGATTTTACCTGAGACTAAACACTGGAAGAAAAATTTTAGTGACCAAACTTTCTGAAGGCTGCTTAAAAGCCAAATCCATGTAACTTACCTGTAATTCTCTTTTCTTTATTCAAGTCTATCTGCAGCCACTGACGTTCATCACTGTCCAAAGCAGCCCAAGGAGGCCCATGCCTTTTCAGTCTGGCATTTTCAGGTTTCCAAGTGTTCACTCGTCCTGTTTGGTCAGGCCACTCAAGAATAGATGAAGCCGTAATCTGGGAATCAGAGATTACCCCAGATTCCATTCCCAGTGTCCCATAGCAACCTGAGCAAAGGAAAAGGTGAGGACTTAGAATTCCAAGACACACAGTGATCTTACTTGCCATGCAAATATTACACTGCCATCTAAATTTATTCCATAACAATGCTACTAAAAAAACCCCCACAATGTCTTCTGCATTCTTCCAGTCACGCTGGAACCAAACTTCTCATCTTCAGTATTGAAAGATTTACACTTGTGCAAGAATAATGTGGATATTCTCTCAATCACCTTCCACACAGAACACTAGAGAAGCTCTGGGGGAACTGTCGTGGTTTAAGAGTTTATCATGTGGTTGGTGCAGTAATGGGAAAGAGATTACTTGGCCACTCACTCCTTTTGGAGCCTATTTAACTTTTGGTTTTCAAACCTACCTCAGTATCATAACGTTAATTCAAATAAAACTCCAAAGAATGTAGGGAGCAACACAACAATCCTGCCCTTGAGTTCAAACGCATCCTTGAAGTTAACTGTATGTTTTGTTACCACTCCTACTAGAAGTTCCTTCCTACATCCTACATTCTTATGGCTTAAAAAAATAATATTAAAAAAAAAATCTTTGTGGCTGATAGCCATTTGCTCATTTGTTGCCTCTGCTGGATGTACATCACCTGCTGCAGCACAAGATCACTTGAGCACTTACTCAAACTCGAATTTTTTCCTCCATCTGTCACTGCAACCTAAGAAGCTGTCAATGTGAAGCAGAAATACAGCGGAGTCTGTGTACTGACACTGTACACTGTACTCTGTGGTTCTTCACTTAGCTTCTGTTACTCAAATCACCAAGGCAGCCAGGTCTTCATGTACAATGGTTCCATTTTCCTCTGCACTGACCACATCTCTAGTATTAACACACACCACAATTTTGTACCAAGTCATGACATCAACTACTGTGAAAGAACCACACTGGTAATACTACCATAATCAGATAATTGTCATTACAGCACACTACAAAACCCTCTTTTTTCCTTCAGCCAATTCCAAGCCCATTCAGACACATATTTTAATCTACATCTCTTGCTTGTTCAACAAGTTGTTAAATGCTTCTCCAAAATTC